CTAGTATTGAGCCTCTTTGGTGACATTTTTATATTGGCTATTGTATTTCTCAACTCCATAATTTTTTAAAAATTTTTTATTTAGCTAGTTTTTGTTCTGATTACTTATACATGACAGTAGAATACATTTTGACACAGCATACATAAATGGAGTATAAGCTTCTCATTCCTCTGGTTGTATATGATATAGAGTCATAACAGTTGTGTAATCATATATGCACATAGGGTAATAATGTCCAATTTATTCTACTATCATCCCTCTCCCCATTTTTCCCTCCCCTTCTTTCACTCCCCTCTGTCTAATCCAAAGTATCTCTGTTCTTCGTACCCCGCCCCCCTTATTGTGAATTAGCATCCCTGCATATCAGAGAAAATATTCAGCCTTTGGTCTCCAGAATTTCTTTTTGGTAGTATTTAATAATTTATTTCTCTTTATTGATATTCTCTATATGCTCAAACATTGATATCATTTATTTCCCTTAATCCTTGAAGGGAATGCTTTTAAAAGCATGCTTTTACTTAATCCTTTGAACATATTTGTGATAACTTCTTTAAAGTTTTTGCTAAGTCCACCATCTGGGCAGCTTCTAGCTACTTTTATCTCAGCTTATTGGTCATATTTTCATTTTTTTTTTCTTTTTGTATGTCTCCTAATTTTTTTTGGAAAATTGAGTATTTTAGAAAATATACTTCCACAGTTGGGGAGGTGGAGAGAGAGGAATTACATATGCCAGAGGTAATAGAGCTGGTGGAATGAAGTAGTGGTGCAGATCATACATAACTCAGATGTCATAGGTGTTCACCTGTTCTGAGATTGAGCCAGTTTTTTTGAATGGATGTTTCTCCATTTGTTACATGTCCTTAGGACAATTCCAGAGCGTCCAAATGTTTGTTTTTCAAAATAATTTTCACCAGTTAAAAATAGATTTGCTGGAGAGGGGGTCCATAGCACTCCTTACTTTGTTATTCTGGGAATTCCACCCCATTTTTCATCTTTTAATATCAGATTTTGGATCTTTATTTATATAGAGACAAGGTCTTTTTTTTAGTACCAATTACGATTTCCTCAAGGTAGTCTGTGTATGCTCTCAGAATAAGTTAAACTTAGTTGTCAAAAATCTTTTCAGAAACTTTTAGTCCGTCAGGAAAGCAGCATTATTTTTCTTATACAAACCAGCATTTTGACTTTAAGCTAATTTTCCACATAGTTTTTCAATTCGATGATTCTGACTGGTTGTTTCCAGGTTTTATAAATAAAGTTTCTTCTTAGAATAGATAGCATTATAGACAGATTCTACCAGCATACCCCTTGTATCTGAAAATGCTTTGCCAATTTATATTAGCTTTTTTTTTTTCCTTTTCTTCACAGCTGCTGTACAAAAGTGTCAATACCTTCCAGTTAAAAGCAGGGAAATCAGGTAGAATATGATATTGTAACTGAAGTAACTCATTCATTTAACATTTATTCGATGCCTATTCTATGACTGATAACTTGCACATGTTCTTTTTGTTACCTATAAATATTTTCTAACTAGAGCCATTATTACATTATGGTTACATTATTTAACATTTATTAAATAAACCTGAATTTCTCTTTGAATCTAATTTTACAAAATAGCCATTCATTTGGAGAGAAAACTTATTGTAAAAAATTATAAGGTTTTATATTATGAAATGAATTTTTTTTTTTTTTTTTTAAAAACCAGTCCGTGAAGCTAAGCAATTAAAATAAGTTTGGCAGAAGAGAAAAAAAGTATCTATCAGTCTTTGAAAAAGGCTTGTTAACTTAGGAAAGAAGCAGTGTTTAGAAAGCCTTGGGTGTTTCTTTAATCTTCTTGGTACTGCTATTTGTGATTATAGACAAAATAATTATATTACTCTCCGCTTTACTTTCTTTCTTGACTTTAATTAGAAAATAATAACTTCTCTTGAAGATTGGGTTGTGGAGGAAAGAAATAGTATAAATTGACAAAGAATTTTATGAAAAGTGCTTTACAAATGTTTGATATTATGGTACCTGTTTATAGGTACATTGTTCTACAGTAGAGATAAATATAAGCTACCTGGCCTGGCTAACAGGAGGTTCAGAAAGGCCTTTGTTCAAACTCATTCTTTTTTATACATTTATTTACTTATTTTGTTTGTGTGAGAAGAAGTTTTACTATGTTGCCCAGGCTGGCCTCAAACTCATGGTCTTAAGTGATCCTCCTGCTTCTTGAATATTTGGAACTATAGGCATGCACTATTGCACATAACTTATTAAACCACTTCCAGTTGTAACCTGGGCTAAAGTGAGATCAGAAGTATAATGTATGTACCAGAACACTGATATTACATCGTATGCCATATAAAGGATAATTTCCCATTTTTCATTCCCTTTTCTAATAGAGAAAAGATGGAACTCTTAAGCCAAATATTTATGTTAACTATTAGCTTAAAGCTCATCTTTCCAAATTTTCTGATTACTTTCAGAAGAAAAACTAAATTTAGGTCACTCTCACTTTTCTCCTTCTCTCATGATGAAATGGCCATAGAAGGAATGGAATAGAAGGAAGAACCAGGAATTGTAAACTGGGAGAGTAGCTCAGTAGTGGAGCACTTGCCTAGAATGCTAGAATTCCTGGGTTCTAACCCTATCACTGGAAAAAAAAAATCATGAAAGTAGTTAATGGTATAGTTGAGCTTAAACTTTAAATCATTGTCTTTATTTCTTGGTTAAAATATTTAAGGTAAATAGCGAGTTCTAAACCTGAAACTCTTGATCCTAGGGTCTTCTGTTTTTCGTTTCCTAGCAGCCAATCAACTTTAAAACATGAAGGGATAAAAACCAGGAAATAATCATAAAGCATTCCTTGGAGAGAGTTTCCAAAACATGAATAAAAAATCAAAACTAACGAGCCCCCTTCACTGAGCCCAGGTACTGTATTGGTACTTTACTACATTATCATTATTGTTCTAACAACACCTAATGAGGAAGGAGCCTTGAATTTTATACTTTGTAAAGAGGAAACTGTGGCCTAGACAAATAATGGAAACTTACCTTGGATTGCACAGCTCCTAGAAACAGGATGAACATTTTTTAGTTTATCCTGTAGTATATATTTATAGAAAAAATTCAAGATGTGGGAAAACAAATTTTTAACAAATCAGTAATAACTATATATGTTTGCATATGTATCTGTGATCATACAAAAAGCCCTCACACCGATCTGAAAAATACATAGTAAATTGATATCATTTGGTAAGCCTGAAGAAGAAAAGTAATGTACCAGGAATAGAGTTGGTGTTCAAATAAGTCTTTATTTTGAATTTTTTGATTTTTAAAAAGGGAATGCATTCCTGTTTTAGTTTGCAAATTTAAATAATTTATAAATTCTCATAAAATGAGGAGAGAAAGCCGAATTCCAGATAATTTAAGCTTTTTTGACCAGCCTCTTTGTCCCCTTTCTAGTAATTTCTTCTTCATCACAATATCCACCCAAGAATATTTAATAAAACTTTTATAATAATGTATACATGAGTTAATTGGTATGGTTAACATTATAAAATAATTTATAATGAAGTATAAGGCAGTATTACATGGTGGTTAACCATGGTAATGGTCAAACCATGGTGGTCTGACCCTGGAGCCAGACTGCCTCAGTTTGAATCTTAATTTTCCTATGGTATGAATTCTCTGCTTTGATTGTTATTAGGTCTAAATGAGGTATTATCTTCACAGTTCTTGGCAAATAGTAAGAACAAAAAATGTAAGAGTTAACTGTTATCACATCATCATCATCTTAACACTTAGAAGAAACTAGGACAAGTTATATTTATGTATGTGTGCACATACACATACATATATATGCATGACTTCATATGGTTAAATAAAGACTTTTTTTAATTAAAATTAGATCGTAATATTTCTGAGTTTTATAACCTTCTTTTGTATCCAACACCATATCTTCGAAACACCTTTCCATGCCATTAGATGAAATCATGAGTGTTTAAAACAAAAATCAGATGGATTTGGTCTTAAGTAGTTGTGATGGTCTGGATCCTTTTGACCAGACACATGAACATATAAAAAAATATGTTTAACAAATCAGGCACTTTGGGGCTTTGGACCTTTGGATGAAAATTTGCAACTTCTCCTCTAAGATTTTCCAACCTATAAAAAGCCGTTGGGGGTTGGGGGTGGGTGGGAGCTGGGGTTGTGGCTCAGCGGTACAGCAATCGCCTCCATGTGTGAGGCCTGGGTTGGATCCTCAGCACGACATTAAATAAATAAATAAAATAAAGGTATTATGTCCAAGTACAACTAAAAATAAATATTAAAAAATGCTGTTACCATATTTAGCAATGTCATAAAATGTAATGAAAATATATGACAGAAATAACATTTCTTTGTCATTTATAACTGGACAAGTAGAAATAAAAATACCCTCAAAGGGAAAAGGCTCTATACTATATAATAGTATGATTTAGAAAAGTCCAATAACATCAGTTTTTTCCAATTAAATAAAAACTGTAGTCTAACTGATTAGAATTACTAGTGAAAAAATGATTTTTCTGAAATCTTTACTATCAAATTTAGTGTTTACAGGTCTGTTTGAGGTAACTTTAAAAGAGTTTTGATTGCATTCCTTAAGATGAAAAACTGTTAAGCACCTCCTATGCCAATAAAATGATGAATGCTGAATCAAAAAAAAAAATACTTTGGGGCTATACTGAAAACCTGAGGTGCTCATAAATGTTGATGTGGCTTATTTAAAGGGTTCAGTGTACCCTGCTATATCTCACCTCACATGAGGATTATTTGCCTGATTTGTTAAGCAATAATATACAACATTTTAAAATGCTTTTCTTCAGAGCCAATATGTAAGATAGAATGCTGTTTTAAAGTACCACTCTGGGAAAGACATTGAAATACCATTCTTTTAAGTAAAATGATCCATGCAAAAGGACATTGTTTATTAATAGAATTATTTCTTTCTTTACTTCTTCCTGGCTTTTCAGGAGATATTTCACAAAGCAGAAGAATTCTTATCCAAAACGACGGATAGTGAAATGGATGACATGGACACATCAGATACCCAGTGGGGCTGGTTTTACCTGGCAGAATGTGGGAAGTGGCATATGTTTCAGGTATCTCCCATCTTTGAATTTCAGCAGCAGGGGTTTGATTCACTTATAGCATCATCTTCCAGATGTATAAATGAGCATGAATGCAAAACTTGAAAGAAATCAAACCCTAAGGAAATCAAATAGCTTAAATAATAGAAAACTTAGAAATTCTTCCAGTTCTTTTCCTTTTCTTCCCCCAGGTTTTCACAATAATTTATTTAGAAGAAACAGTATGTTTACAGTATGTTCAGAGTGTCAGTGTTACTAGAGTTGCATGATATCCGACATCTGAGCCAGCTCCAAGTTTGACTTGGTAGACAGAGAGAGAGAGAGGGTAGAGCAAGTTTACATTAAACACCTTTTGTATGCCAGTATTATGTTAGGTGCTGTACACATATTTTTTTCTCTTATGCTCATAACAACTCTAAAGCAGATATTAAAACTCTTGTCTTCTAGTCAAAAAAAAGTGAAACTCAGAAAAGTTAACACAGTGTGTCTAGAGTCACAGAGGAGTTAAACTGAGATTTGAACCTGTTCTCAAGCCTGTGTGTGTGTGTGTGTGTGTTTCCTCACCAAGCTGTTTAAAGTTAAAGATTAAAATTTTGAACCACTTAGAAAGTACAGTTAGTGTAATTATTAGGATACTTTGTGAAGAGTGTAATAATTTGTAAAAAGGAACATTTACCCAGGTGTTGAAGGGGACCATAACCTGTTGTTTCTTTGCTGGACATCTTTAAACCATTTTCAGTATGAGGATTTAGTTGAGATCTTCCCTGTGTGTTGGGAGATAAAACAGATGGTTAGTAAGTTTCCCTCATTCTTCCATTTTCTTTTGCTATGACCATAGTATCACTTCTCTGGCCAACCCCTAATATGAACAACTGATAAATGAAACTTTCTGATTTATCTTAAAGCCGGATACCAATATTCAATGTTCAGTTAGTAGTGAAGATATCGAAAAGAGCTTCAGAACAAACCCTTGTGGCTCCATTTCTTTTACTACTTCCAAATTCAGCTACAAGATAGACTTCGCAGGTATGTTTTTTTTTTTTCCTAATGGTTATGTTTTCAGTATATTGATAGAGTAATCTATAGCTCTGAAGATCAAGATTAGTTGTTACATTTACAAACAGTGAAATAGCGAAGTAAATATTTTTTTGTGGCACATGAAAATTGCCCCATAAATATTCAAGACTTGAATCTTCTTGAGCAACATTGCCTTTAATAAAGGCATGTTTATATGCGCATATATATATATATATATATATATATATATAAATGTTTGTGAAAATTTTCATATATTTTGAGTTCATGTCATACTTGTTTTCTAAAATACACAAAGCATTTTATAGATCTTGGGATTTTTGTTTGTTGGTTGGTTTGTTTTTGAGATGGAGGTCTTGTTGTTGCCCAGGCTGGCCTCAAACCCTGGGCTTAAATGATTCTCCTGCCTCAGCCTCCTGAATAGTTAGGATTACAGGTAAATGCCACCACTTATAGCTCTTGTTTTATTCATCATCCAATCCATCTAGAAATAAGTTTGAAACAGTTAGGAACTGTTTAATTTTAAAGGTCAAACATACGTTAAGTGAGAAAGTCATAATTAGCTAATGATAGTTTCAAGACCAAAGTTTAGCTGAATGATCCTTCTCTTGGTGTCTTGGCCAGAAAACTAGTTCTTTAATGGAAATTGCCTTCTGCCATTTCTGATTTCATTAGCCCTTTCATAGATTAACCAGCTAATCTGGAAATCTGCCACACTTTTTATTTCATCTATGATTTGTGGTCATGTTTTTAGGTGAACCATGAAAAACCTTTTAGAGTCAGAAAGATCAATAGCAGGAAGGGAGCAGGGAGTGGGGAGGAAAGGAGAATATGAGGTACTGGATACTGAATTAGAATAAGATATATTCTGTGCTTTTATAATTATGTTAAAAAGGATTCTACTGTCATGTATAACTAAAAAGAACCAATAATTTTTTGAAAGTCCCTTAAATTTTAAGTTGTTGGTATCCACTCTTTTTTTTTTAATATTTATTTTTTAGTTGTAGTTGAACTCAATATTTTTATGTGGTGCTGAGGATCGATCCTAGGGCCTCGCACGTACTAGGCGAGCGCTCTACCGCTGAGCCACAACCCCAGCCCTAGTATCCACTCTTTACTGCTTAGAGGCAAATAAGACCTAGATGGGGAGGCTTTCTTAACAAAAGTACATTTTGATTGCTGTACAGCTTAGTCTTCTATCTTTTCTTTCCCAATTTCTGGGAGTAGTATCTTTCTGACTGTGTTAGTAGTATGCTGTAGTTAGACAGGGTGCTAAAACGTTTGAAATTCCTTTGGACGAGCCAATGCCTAGAAATGGTGAAGGAGTTTTGTCCAGGTAGAGGTTGATGCAAACAAATATCTAATAATTACTTTCCTCACCAAAATTGTTTTTCTTGCTTTTTTTTCATTATCATGAGTTAAAACTTAGATTCCCAGTCCTGAATAATCATAACTTCTTTTTAGTGACATTAGGCAAATAAACTGCTTTTTAGAGGATCCTGACATTTGACTTTCTGCTACAGTATAGGCAAACAGTGTGTGGTAGACATTTCTAGACATTTTTTTTGAAGCAGTAGTAAAATAGAATGATATATACAGGCTTCAGGCTTCATGAAGAGGATGAGGTTTATTAAAGCATTCAGTAGATAATTTAGCAAGCCACATTGATCCTAAAAGAATATTTGCTAGTAAAGTACATATTTTGAAAGCTTTCTGTCAGAAAATTAAGTTTATCAAAAAATATCTTGCCAGGTGTGATGGTACGTATCTATAATCCCAGCAACTTTGGAGACTTGAGGCAGGAAGATTTCAAATTTAAGGCCAACCGGGCAATTTAGTGAGACCCTGTCGCAAAAATAAAAAGGGCTGGGATTATAGCTCAGTGTTACACCCCTGGGATCAATCTCCAGTATCACAAAAAGTAAATATCTTTATCAAACAAATTACATATACTAATAACTCAAGGTCCCCAACCCTCTATATAGTGATATTACTTCAAAGATAGTTATTAGTACTTAACATACACTATTTCAAAGTTATTAGCCCCAACCATTCTACTACTAGTCAATTCAGCTTCTCTCTATAAACTGAGAAAAGTAAACTCAAAATGAGATGGTTTAAGAAGATGGCACTACAGGTTTTGCATTATGTGCTGAGAAGATCTTGCTTTTTCCCTTGAACTGTAATGATGACAGTATGTGCCGAGTCTAGGAGAATACAGAAAGCCAGGACAAACTTTACATTAGCACTTGCCTGGGTGGGTGAACTCTTTGTTTAGGAATGAAATGCTGTCAAGTAGACAAGATAACCTGGCTAGAATCTTGAATTAAGACTTATGTGGGAATGAAGACATGGATCTGGTAAATATTGCCAAGGCTGAAATATAGATGAAAGAAGAAAATGATACATTTAGTTATTAATTAATATTTTATCACTAGAATTGGTTATATAAGTATGTGTTGGGTCTCGCCAGGTTTTCTATTTTTTTTGGTTTAGGTATACAATTTAAAGAGAAGGCAAGAAATATACAAATTTTTGAAATTCTGTGAGTTGTACAAGTTTTATAATGGTAATGTATCTCTTTTCTCATTTCCAAAATTCTTGGAGAAATAAATCAAAGTATATTTTTCCATTTAATAAGCCAAACAGAAGGTTTAATATGATAATTTCTTTCTTTTTCTAGTACTCTTAACTTTCCTAAACTTAGAACTCTTGTATTTTATTGTCGGTATAACCTAAGCGCAGTACAGAAAGGAATAGACCCTGCATACTGAGCAGTGTATAAAATTAGCATCTTTATGTATGAGCTTAGGTCAAGCAATGAAGCTGTGCTCCCCTGAAGAGCACCTTTATGACAAGATGTATAGATGCATGGTAAAGTATCTTAATATACTCTGCTTGTCAGCTGCTCCCATATCTCCATGATTCCTGGTCATCATGTAGTGTGACTACTAATCTTCGTGACATTTTATAGCACAGTATGTTTCTATGGCTTATCTAATATCTTTGTCTTTGTGTACAGAAATGAAGCAAATGAATCTCACCACTGGAAAGCAGTGCTTAATAAAAAGGGCTCCTTTTTCTATCAGTGCTTTCAGGTATTGTAAAGAGAATGGGGCAGAAACGGTATTTTGCCATTTGATAGAGAAACGCATAGACTAATGTTTTAGTGAGTCAATAAATGACTTTTTATATATTAAATTGACTTTTTAAATATTAAGTCTCTCATTTGTTGATAAAATAGCCAATCATCTTCTGTCATCATTTCTTCTATTCTTTCCCCCTTTTGTTGTTTATTTATTGTTTTCAATTCTTGAGAATAGTGTGCACAGTAGTTACAAAATGTCTTATGGCCTTTGTAATAAACCCTTAAAATAATACACTGGTAAATTTGAATTTTAACTAAAGATATTCTCAACAGAACCATCCAATTATTTGAGTCATAAGTCCTGGGTAATTGCCCACTTTGTATCTCTACTGATTTCTACTAGGCAACCCTTAGAAGTAATTTCAAGTCTTTAGCAATTAAAAGAGACCTAAGGAAAATGTTTGCACAACGGGGCAACAGGACAGCTCCCTGGATCTACACTGAAGATTTTCTTTTTGCTCTCTCTGGCTGTACATAGTCTGAAAAAAGAGGTGTACATGCCAGATTAAATATTTGTTATTCATATGAATGTGGTTGAAGGGAAAAACCTTAGAGCATGTCTCCTTTTTTTAAAAAATGATTCCTTAAGCAAATATTGAAATTCTTTTTTTTCAAAGAATTTAAAATGAAACAAAACAAAACTAAAATGGTAGCATGTGAATTGTACAAAATACCTGTTTGCTTCCTCCAAGGAGAATTTTTGAAAGGATTTGAGCAAAAGAAAGAAATTGAAAGAATTAGGGCAAAGGAATAAATATTTTAAGTTTGTATCAGTTCGTTTCTCAATATTTGTGACTTATAATTTGCATTATGATTTAAAAGTTATTCATATATTTATATGATAAATGTGCTAATACATCTATGGAATATAGAGAATATTTTTCTTCCAGCTACATCATGGTCACATTCTTTAGTACTAGGAATACAAAAAGGAATTGCTTATCTTCAAAGAACATGTAATCTGGGAGAAAAATGAGACATTATAATGGAAAATATTATTGGATGTGTTTTATCTGGTATGCCTTTGATGGGGGTAAGAAGCATAAGGTGGGGTCAAATACTGTTCTATCCACACTGTACAAATAATATAACAACAGCAGGAGAGGGAGAGAATTAAACAGAATGGAGGACAGCATGCAAGATAATAATAAAAGGGGAGAGTTAATTAAAGAGGAAAAATAGAGTGATGAAGGTCAGGTGCTGACGTAGAAATGTTCATTGAAGACTATTAAACATTTATTTCAGGCAAAGCAAATAATTTATACCTCCTATTGACAAGGAATTAATTCAGGCTTTGGGCTATAAAATTTTGTCTGTTTTTACAATAGCTAAAAGATACTTAGACATTTAGGAAAAATTTTTTGCTTGTTATAGTGAAAGAACTAATTCAGAGTTATTTTAGAATTCTCTAAGACCAACATGGATGAAGAATTTGAACATTCACACAGCTGCAAAAGAGAAATACAAATCAGTATCAGGCTTAAAAAAAAAACTATCAGATTGACAGAAATTTGAAAGCTTAATATCACACCTTTTTGGAGAGGTTTTTGGAAATTAGGCTTTCTCTATATTTCTTGTGAGAATGTTAATAAGGTGGCATTTGCACAGTATCTGTCAAAATCATGAATAAATATATACTTTGACCAAAAATTTAATTTCAAAGTGTTATTCTTCAGATAGACCAATGGACATGTAAAGTGATAAATAGACAAATTTGTTCTTTGTGGAGTTCTTAATACAGTAGCAAAAGTGAAAGACAAGCTGAGTATCATCAATAGGAGTCTGGATAAATAAACCACACACACACACACACACACACACACACACACACACTCATACAGTGGAATGCTGGGCATCTGAAAAATATTTAGAGTGCTTTTATTTATTCAACCAGTATTTATTGAGTGTCTATCATATGCCAAACTCTGTTGTAGGCACTGGGAATGAGAATACTTTCTATGTGTTAATATGGAAAGATCTCAGATTAAGTGGATAAAAAGATGCAGAAATGTAGGCTATTTATGCTGCCATTTGTGTGAAAGAATAATTTGGCTTATATTTACCTAAAGAGATTCCAAAAGAACAAACAATTAAAAACAGTAATTACTTGGAGTAAGCAAGAAGAAAGAATTGGATATAACAAGGACTGGAGCTGGAGGGACACTTCCCACTGCATTCTTCTTTATGTATAGTCATTTTTAATGATGTTGTTTTTTCCTAAAATTAAAATGAGTTTGAAAAAATAAACTAAGGATAGGTTTGAAACTAATTTTTTCCATTAAATTTTTTTCTATTTTCAATCACCAGAGAGGATTGGAGTGTTAGCTTTTACTATTAAACACCCCATCATCACTATCTTTCTTTGCTCACATCCAGTGGTTTGGACACTTTAGTTTTAAAAAGATTTCTGACTGCAGTAAGCGAATTAATGTGGATCACGAAAGAGAATTTTAGATTTGACTCAGATCTTGGAGTACATAAATGGCTGATAAGAGTTTCACTTTTATTCAGTAGGCAATATAAATAAGAGCTTGGGCTTTTTTTTTTTTTTTCCATCAGGAGTTTAATTTTTTTCCTTAGAAATACCTTTTCTGTAATCTTCCTTACATTTTAAAGAAATTTTAGAAACTTAAAAGAAAATAAGACAGAACTATATAATTATTTTTGAAATTTATTGGTGTGTAAGATTGGATATTTTTCATCAAAGTTTACTATTCAATACCTGAAAAACAGCACACAGTAAGCATTCAATAAATATTTTTAAATAAAGAAACAAAGGGTTGCACTTATTGCATTTGACATCATACCATGAACATGAAAATTTAGAAAATACTAAATTACTGGCAGTAATTATAATCAGCTTCTAATATTTTGTTTTATTTTTTGCTATTTTAAGTTATATCTGTGAAAATGAGGCTATCCCTATGCCACCACACTGGGAGAATGTGAATACTGAAGTACCATATCAGGTAAGAGCAGGTCTGACTATCTATCCCTTGAAGAAATTAGAAAGGACTGTAACAAAACCATGTACTCTTTTCTTCCCAGCTTATTTCTCTGCACAATCAAACACATGAATATAATGAAGTTGCCAGTCTCTTTGGGAAAACAATGGATCGTAACCGAATTAAAAGAATTCAGAGAATTCAAAATTTAGACCTATGGGAATTCTTTTGCAGGTAAGATGATCTCTGATCTGAACCTTCCTATCTGTAAAACTTATATAGTCTTAGAGATAGTTAAACATTAGTGTTTAATTGTATTAATTTTTACTGATGTTGACATGCTGATTTTATTTTGGCACATTTCTACCTGGCCTCTCAGTGCACTTCTTTAGCATTCCTGGAGGAGTAAAAGAGAGCTACTCTTCAAGTGAATCCCTGGCATTATAACATGAAAAGCTTTCCCTGGGGGCTTAAAGATGTGCATCTTGACTGAAATGGACATTATAAGTCTCAGGAGCTGCTCAACTTTGTTGATGTGATTTTGTTTGGCTCAGCTTTTTATGTCAAATTAGAAACATTGTTGACTTTTTTTTTTTTTTTAAATAATTACACTTACACTATATTTTGGGGGGGATGGGGGCACCAGGGATTGAACTCAGGGGCACTTGACCTCTGAGCCACATCCCCAGCCCTATTTTATATTTTATTTAGAGACAGGGTCTCACTGATTTGCTTGCACCTTGCTTTTGCTGAGGCTGGCTTGTGATCCTTCTGCCCCAGCCTTCTGAGCCACTAGGATTACAGGCCTTTGCCACCGTGCCCAGCTACTTACACTACACTGTCTTACACAAAACTAGTCATTTGCTTGTTTTGATTTAAAGAACAATCTAAAACATACCTTCAAAATTCTTACTTAGCTTAGAGTTTATGTAGGTTTAAAATTTCAATTTAATTTTAGATTTAAGTTAAAAATGACCTCTTAGATTGCTCATTGTGCACAAAACCTAAAAATAAATCTCATTACAGAAAACTTGGAGGTATTGTTCAGATTAACCTGTTGTGCTGTATTTTTATAACAAATGTTACTTAAAGTAAGTGGCTCTCTGAAATATTTTAGTTAACATTTGTAGATGAGATTGGCTTCTAATATTTTTACTCTGACTTTGAATTTTTTTTCAGAAAAATTTCAAACAAAAAAGTAGAGAGTCTAATATAAGGAAACCCATGTGCTCATCATCCTGCTTCAATATTTATCAAGATTTACCTCACATAGTCTATCTCCTTTTTGTTATTGTTGTTGGTGAAGTATTTCAAAGTAAATCCCAGACTGTAACTCATTTCATTTCCATATACTGGACATTTAAACGACTTTTGTTTGGTAATGGTACATGGAATTCTTTCTTGGTTCTAACTGATTAGTTAAATGTGGCCCAAGTACATTCCAGATATAATTCTCATAGTTGTTTATAGTAAAATAAGCTGTGTTCAGCTTGTGTTTTTATAGTTTTGACTCTTTGTACCAAACCATCTTTTATTTCTGACAATAACTGTGTCTGACTTTGGAACATTTTTTTGGTTCTTGTTTGGAGGATTCTGATTATAGAGGAAGATAGAAAAAAGCCTTTGCCCCCTTTGATTTTATTACCTCAGTGACTGTTTTTCTGAAATGGGTTGTTGAAAACTTGATTTTTAATTTTTAATCAGATCTCTGAAGTAGAGCTCATATTGATCTCCATAATTTGAGTTCCAAATAAAACCTACTGTAAAAAACCATCCCATTGGGGATGTGGCGCAAGCGGTAGCGTGCTCGCCTGGCATGCGTGCGGCCCGGGTTCGATCCTCAGCACCACATACAAACAAAAGATGTTGTGTCCGCCAAAAGCTAAAAAATAAATATTAAAAATTCTCTCTCTCTCTCTTCTCTCTCTCTCTCTCTCTTTAAAAAACAAAACAAAACAAAAAAACCAAACAAACCATCCCACTGAATCCCTAAAACATTTGATACTAAGAATTTCACTGCAAACAGTCTTATGTGGAGATGCCATGATTTTTTTGTATTGTCAGCCTATAGAAATCTGTGATGTAAGTGAACTTGTCACCTGCTGTAGTATTGCAAAAATACTTAGATCTCATTGCAGGGGCAGCCTGTCATTCTGACATTTCCCTGTAAAACTAAAATAACTTAGTCAATCTCATTATCACATAACCTGTGACTCACCATATAGACAGTCAGGCCCACAAGAGTCTATCAGGGATCAGTTTATATGTCACTTGGGCCTTTCTTACTTCCCTCCCTTCTTTCGACAAATATGTTTTTAGCACCTGATTTGTGACAAGCACTATTCTTGGTACTTGAGATATAATGATGTACGGAACTATAGATTAGATGAAAAGGCAGGCCTCTGCTACCCAGAAATATAGGGATGAGCACAGGTCATCATGGGAGCACAAAGTGAGGGTTTCTATCCACCCTTGCTGACAAAAGTAGGGTGTGGATTATGGAATGGGGTATATTAGATAACACCTCCTAAGGCAGGTGTCAATTAAGCTAGACACAGGTAGAATAGAGAAAGGACATCCTAGGCTTTGGGAACAGCATGGGCCAAAGTCTGGATATAAGAAAGAATATAGAAAGTTGAGAGAATTTCAGATTGAGTAGAAAATTACCATGAATGGTGAGACAGGAGGCTAAAAAAGTAGTCAATAGGGAGAGCTTGCGGGAGTTTATATCAGAACCACTGGGTGGTTGTATAATTTTTTTCAGTAACCTTAGTTGAAATCAATTGATCCAGAGAGTTTGCAGGTGCCAGACTTTATAAGGGCTTTATAAGCTAAACTAAAAGATTTTCTTTCTCTGGAATGGTAGAAAATCCTTGTAAGACTTTAAGCAAGAGGGTGATGGATCTGAATTTTAGAAAAATAATTCATCAAGCCATACTGTGGGGAATGTTTCGAAGCAGTGGTTCTCAACTGGAGTGATTTTGCCTATCAGGAAACATTTAATAATGACTGGAGAAATTTTTGATTGTCACATGGTGGGTTGGAAAGTGCTAATGTCATCCATTAGATAGAGACCAGGGATACTAAACATCCTACAATATATAGGACTGCCACAACAAAGAGTTATCCAACCCCAAATAATCATAACATCAAGGCTGAGAAACTCTTATTTAAAGGAATCACAGTTTGAAGCATGGAGATCAAGTTAGAAAATTATTTCAGTAATTAAACTGAGACACAGTGGGTGGCCTAAACCAAAGTGATATCTGTTGTATACAGGCAAAGGGGACAGTTTTGGCATATTGAGTATGTAAAATGGTGGGACTTGGTGCTTGAATTAATGTGTGTGATGGGGTAGGTAAATGAGACAGAAAAGGTAACTCCCACATTTCTGGACTATTTGTTTTAGTTGACTAAAGGATATGGGTGGAAACAGGCCTTGGTCTTTATAGGGACAATGGAAGGTTCCCTGGTGGTTGATGTACAGCATTTGATATACAAGTCAAGAGCTTAGGCAAGTAGTTTAGAGACAAAGGCTTTGGAGTTTTTAGAAAACATGGGGCAATATAAACTATAGGGATGAGTAAAGATGACCAGGGAATGTGTATAGATTAAGAAAAATTAACCAAACTCTGGAAGGAATGAACAGAGAAAGAGAAAACCTAAAGAGGAAAGGAAGAAGTATCAACCACGGAAGGTAAAAGAAAACCAAAAGAATGTGGAGTTGCAGAAGCTGAATGAAGAAAGTAGTTTATCCAAATAGACATCATCTGCTAGGCCCCATACTGAAGAAATGCCAAGAAAGATAAATATTAAAAATGTCCTTTGGGCTTTGTAACCTAAAGATCGTTGGTAACCTTGATCAAAGCATTGGTAGATGCTATATTGTGTGTACAAGCAAATGTAAACAACTCTTAAGAAGCTTGGCAGTGACAAGGATGAGAAATGTGAGATAGAAAAAATGTTTAAGGAAAAGTGTTTTTGTTATGTTGTGTTGTTTTAATTTAATGATGAGTGAGATCTGAGCTTTGTGATTGGAAGAAACCTATAAAGGAGAGTTTAGAGACATGAGAAAAAGGGGGAAGCATAATTGATAGATTAAGACTCACAAAGAGGCATGACAGAATGGAATTCAGAGAACACATGTTAGAAAGGAGGGAGAGAGAGTGTCCAGTTAGATTGGTAGGTAAATAGAGATAGAGGATGAGGAGAAGAGCTAGGTTAGAGTCTCATGCCTTCAGTTTCTATGTGAAATAAGAAATGAAGTCACCTACATAGAATGAATTGTTGTTAGGAAGGTGTGGATAAAGAGGGAAAAGGAAAAGGGATAGGAGAGATTTGAAATGGACACTGTGGAAAATGGGAGAGAAAGAGCTAACTTGGGAACCATATGATTTCTATCAGTGTTGAGGGTTTAGCTGAGATTGGAATATGTGAATTTCTAGTGGAAATCATGGGAAATTTTCTGTGATTCACATCAGCAGTATAAATATAAGAGTAGATAGGAGAGATGATGAGATTGATCCAGAGTTGGGAAGTATAAGACAGCTAGGAAATAAGATCTGTGAAAACTTCTGTCTCCTTAAGAATGTAGATATTGATAGATCAGATATTCTCAAAACTGACTGCATATCAGAGTCTCCATGGAGCTCTTTAGCAAATAGAGATGCCTGACACTTGTCCTAGATTCAGCAGATCAGAACCTTTGGGTTTTGAAAATTTCCTCTCTTAAAAGGTCTATAGGTGTTTCTGATGTTCATCCAGAAGGGAAGACCACTGATCTAAACCTAGGTAAACTTCAGTGCAGAGCATATGACATACACAATTTAGCTTTTCTGGCACTCTGGTTGCTAAGATGGAGGGTAATATTGAGATGTCTTTGAGAAAGGGTGCCACAGTACTTTTAGTAAGTTCAGAAGTAATTGTGGGTTTGGACACAGTTTGGCAGGGCTGTGAAGAATTTAGTGTAGTCCTGTGTCTTTCCTTGTAGGTTTAATCAAAGTTCAAGAGGCCCTGAAACTCAACTCTATCCTTTCTGGAACCCTAAAGATATAGTCTGTGAGTGTCCACATTTCTTGCGTGCCTTCATCATGGACACTTAAATAAATAAAACTTGCTGTGGGGATATGGAGCTTTAACCACCTGCCCAGCTCTGCCTCCAGCAGAGATGTTTGCTCCATCCAATCCAGTAACCAGTTTATCATTGCCTGCTGATGGCCACACTCCAGGCTGTTTAGGCCACAGTTTATTTATAATATCTAAGATACACTGGAGTAAATTTTCAAACCAAGATTCATTTTAATCTGTGCCTGAAATATAGTGACAAGTGAACATCCTGATTTTTTAGAGTGAATTCTAGTCATCATAGCTCATGGAACTTGACCTTAGAGGGATGTGTTTTAAACACATTTTTACTTTAAAAAATGGTATGAATTCATGAATGCCAAACTAATAGGATTGCCATAGTGGTAATTTGGAAAGTTCCTTACAGTCTAACTTGATTTTTATGAAGTAGTGGAGAAAATTTCTTATGTTGAAGACAAGGTATGCCAGGTCATAGTACAAAGAGAAAAATTAGTAGAAGTCATGCAGAGAGTAACTTGATTGGTATGCATGCTTTCTTCAACATTTTTATCAGGAACTTAGATGAAAATGTAGAAGACTTGCTTATCATTCTTGTGAAAGATTCAAAACTAGAAGGGGTAGTTTATTTGTTTCGGGAGTGAATCAGTAGTCAGAAAGACCTTGGAAGGTTGTAAGTAGGTCAAAACATACACTATCTTTTTTATAACTATTTTTCTTTGTTAAAAAAGGAACAGACGTACATTATAAGAAAAGAAAAAGTGAGACATAAAGTTCTAAAACAGAAAGTTGGTCTGTATAATTTGTTCTTGTAAAAACCTGTGTTTTTTGTGAAATAAATAATTGCTTACTGCATATCCCTCTAATGTCAGGCTCAGTGGTCTGGAAAGATTGTTGCAGTAGATCAAAGCATATGCATTTAATTTTGATACATATTATTGAATGACTTGAGAAAGATCATAGACATTTTAATTTCTGTCATTTAAATGAATGTATACATTTCTCCACATATTCACTGAGCTTCATGTTGATAAAATTTGTTGACTTGAGGGATGGATAAATTTGTTGTTTAATTTTTACTTTTTAAATTACTATATCAAGTTTAAAGCTTAACTGCAAGAAGTCTACAGATTAGGTTGTACAAATTCATCAAGCTCAGAGGTTTTCTGGTTTGAAAAGTCTTGGGAGTTTTAATTGACTGCACACATTAGATAAGCAGTTTTATGCCTCTGCTACAAAACTGAATTCAGTGGTTTTGGTGAAGTCAGTGCTGTCTGATGATACCTGAACTATATTTCTATTTCTATTTCTTACCAACAGTTATTAACTAGAAGGTATCTAGCAGATTTATGTTAGCTAAAGAAGGTCCAGTAAAGAGAAAGACCTGGAAGCATTGCTGTGTGAAGACTAATTGAAGGAACAGTATATGTTTAATCTACAGAAGAAAGCCCAATGAGATGTTCATACTTATGTGGGGGTATTTATAGAGTTGTTTTAAAAGAGTGATTCAAATTGTTCTGTGTTCAGAAGAGAACAATGACAACTAGTCAGTAGAAATAATGGGAAGGCAGATTTTAGTTCAGTGTTGGGTGAGAGTACTTGTTGAGAGCCACAGCCGAAGGGGCCCCAGCAAACTTCCAGCTGCCAGCTGATGATTGGCTCACAGCGGCCCCAGCAAACTTGTAGCTGCCAGCTGATTGGCTCTTCTGTGGTGATGCTCATTGGGTTGTTTCCCTGCCCTTTCAGACCTCGGGAGCTGCTCATTGGGGGACTTTTTTTTGGCTCTCTAACAATTGCAGCTGATCATAAATAGAATGAATGTTCTGTCTTGCAAAGCAGTAAGTCCTTGATGCTGGAATGAATTTAAACAGGCATTAAATAGTTAGCTATCACAGGTGTAAAGGGGAGGGCTTATTTTTAAAATGTCTTTTTAATGAAATATTTCAAAAGTGAAATGCAGCAGATAAATTTTCAGACACCTGTATGCCTACCAGATTTAACGCTTTAATACTTGCCCCACTTTCTTCATCTTTGCATATTGTTTTTAAAAGTATAAAACATTACATATACAACTGAAGTATTTACACTATCCTCTTCTGGTCTTCTTCTTTACTTTTCTATAATGCCTTCTTGTTTATATTTTCATAGTTTTTTACTACATACATAATCTCTATTTACAAAATACAGTATTATTTTGAGAAATGTGTGTATATTTGCAACATTCTTTTTACATCCAAGATTATTTTTCAAATCTACTGTTAATGCATGTCAGTCTAGTTTATTACTCTTAACTTTGATATGTAAATATATAATTATATATTCATTTTTCTGTGAAAGAATTCGGGGCTTTTAGTTTTTGTCTTTTCAGTTACAATTCGTTCTACATTGAATGTCTTCTTATGTGTTAAAAGAGATGTGTCTGTTGGAAGAGCTGGGTGTGGTGGTTCATGTCTACAATCCCAAGGACAGGGATGGGCGGGGGAGACTGAGGCAGCAAGATCACAAATTTGAGGCCAGACCCAGCAATTTAGTGAGACTGTGCCTTAAAATAAAATACAAAAAAGGCTAGGCATGTAGCTCAGTGGTAGAGCACCCTGGGTTCAATCCCCCGTACCAAAAAAAAAAAGATGTGTCTGTTTGAAAGAAAGTTAAACTTGATGACTTAATGTTCCTTCCATCCATAATATCCCAAATTCACATCAGTTCAACTAATATATTCTAATCTCTGGAGATAGAAAGATGTGGCCCCAGCTCAAAGAATTCGCTGTCTAATGACCCTGTGATCTTTGTATTTAATTATTTATAATCTCATTTATAGGCATCTGTAAAGCTTAGCTGGTTTAAATCATCAATTACCTTTACTATGATGAGGCATAGTCTAGATATCTATATCTTTGGGGAAATTTTTTTTAAAATTTTTTCTTGGTTTTTTGTAGTGGGCTGGGGAAGGGGAATGCTGGGATCAAACTCAGGGTTCTGCAGGTGCTAGGTGAGCATTCTAACACTGCACTACATCTCCAGCCGCTTTTGGTATAATTTTCAACCTTTAGGCTCAATTTAATTAATAATTTTTGAGGAGATGATTTAAGTGTCCAAGAGCATTGGAAATTATGTCTTTTCTAAAACTGCTTTGTCTACTTAGGATTTAAATTAAAGATGTATTTTTTTGTCTTAGCCTTTCTATTGAACATTGTTCTTTAAAAAAATTACTAAATGCTAATTATGGTCTGTTTCTGTGTGTGTTTTATGTCCTTATGTGTATTGTGTTTTTAGGAAAAAGGCTCAGCTCAAGAAAAAAAGAGGTGTCCCTCAGATTAATGAACAAATGCTATTTCATGGTACCAGCAATGAATTTGTGGAAGCAATTTGCATTCATAATTTTGATTGGAGAATAAATGGTATACATGGTGCTCTCTTTGGGAAAGGTAATTATCAGAATTCCAGGTCCAAATTTAGTTCTAGGATTCTCTCTCTTCTTTAGAGATAATTGACAGTTATGTAATTCAGTAGTAGTTAAAAGTTACTGTCCTGGGTTTTAGGCACATCCTCAGAGTTTCTGAGCTGCAGATAAGTCAATTCTTACGTGCACAGGATGAAGTAAGACTCTTACACTTCTGTCAAATTAAATAACTCCCCAAGTTCCAGTTATTCATATGGGGCATCATGTCCATGTTGAAGAATTTTTGCATTATATGTAACATCCAGGTATAGTCTTTTATATGTATAAGCCTACACACTAAATTGCTTTATGGAAAAGATAGATAGATAGATAGATAGATAGATAGATAGATAGATAGATAGATAGATAGATAGAGAGAGTGAGTGATAAAATAAGTTAATTATATTATGCACCAGTATAGGTACTAGTGATTTTATTTTTATTTTATTTTATTTTTTACAAAGTAATAGGTGAGAATATTAACGGGCAATAAGGAGTAATTGGGGGAAACTTTATCTTATTTCTAATGTTATGAAAGTCTAAATTCTCTAGTTTATGCCCATAACTCAAGCAAATTAAGGAGAGATGAGGGGAAAAGGTCAGGGATGGATATTTATTTTTCTAGTCTTTACTCTATACCTTACTTCAGCAAAAGAATTATGATGTAGGATCAGGATATGCTACATTTTGAAAAAGTAAATTAATTTTAAAAACCTACAGAAAAGGCCATCTCATTTATTGAACTATAAGAGGGTCAGAAAAATCTTAACACAAATCCATTGATATTGAGTAAATATGACGCTTCGTAATTCCAAAAATGTTTAGAGTAAGTATTGCCTTAATGATAATTTTTACTGTCTACCATTTCTAAAGAGTCAGCTTCTGTTGAGTTTTCATGTTTAGAAATTGAACTGGTCAAATTGTTATAAAATATTCTGACAGGAACAGCTATGTTAGTCAGCTTTATGTTACTATAACAAAATACCTGAGACAACTTAAAAAGAGGAAAGGTGTTTTGGCTTATACTTTCACAGTTCCCTTTGAGAGTATTCCCTCAGTGACCTAAGACCTCCCACTAAGTTCTACCTCTTTGCATCAAGCTGGGAACTAAGCCTTCAACACATTGCCTTTGGGGAACTTTTAATATCAAAATCGTAGCAATAGCTTTGTACTCTCAGAAATCTTTTTCTGGACATAAAGTTCTGTTATTTCCAGAATTGTTGTTGGATTATAACCATGTATCTAGAAGTATGGTTTCTTGGGGTTTGAACTCATGTCTGTTACTTGAAGTTTTCTATGTCATCTCCAGAGCTTAGCTGAGGGAGGAGTCTTAGTAGAAGGAAATAAAAGTGGGAAGAAGGTCCACATGATAAAAATTCAGGTCCTGCCACACTTTTAATCACAGAACAGTTTTATTTACTGGGCTTCTTTGCAAGATTTTTTGAAAACAGAAATCTGGTATCTGCAGTTTAGTGGGAGTGGAGGAGGGTATTGGCAAGGTCTGGTGTATACCAATAAATCTATGCCTCTGGCAGTCTGCACTGCAGCTGTCCCCAACAGATGGATTTCTATTCTTTCCTTAAGGATCTGCAGATGAGGAAATTCCACATCTATTTTTGTTATACAATTCCATGAGTCTATTCTCCTGACAATTAGAATGTTTTTGTTTATGTTTAGTATATTCTTAGGAGTAATCTTGGCTCTTTTTGGTCCTTTTTGTTCAAGGAACCTATTTTGCTAGAGATGCTGCTTACTCCAGTCGCTTCTGCAAAGATGACATAAAGCATGGAAACACATTCCAAATTCATGGTGTCAGCTTGCAACAGCGGCATCTATTTAGAACATATAAATCTATGTTTCTTGCTCGAGTGCTAATTGGAGATTACATAAACGGAGACTCCAAATACATGCGACCTCCTTCCAAAGACGGGAGCTATGTGAATTTATATGACAGCTGTGTGGATGATACCTGGAATCCAAAGATCTTTGTGGTTTTTGATGCCAACCAAATCTATCCTGAGTACTTGATAGACTTTCATTGATTTCACTTCCAAATCTCAGTGGTCAAGAAATTTTGTTCTTTCTTGCAGGAAGATTTGCTCTCCTGTCATCTAGCCACTAAATGTTAAATATCTGATACTTTTGAAACAGATATGAAAAAAAAAAGTGGCCTCCAAGTAAAAAGACATACTGACTATAAGGTTGGTTTTTTGTTGTGTTGTTTTTGTCTGTTACCCATAGTCTTGTTAAAAATTAATACCATTGCCATTTTAACACACAGAATGAGAGATACCATTCCAGATTGAATTAGCTGAGTCTCAGTTACCATGGTCATGCAATCTTTAAAGTTTACATATGTGTGATCAGGATAAATGATTTTAGTACAGATGGACTTATTCATCTATGTTCAAAAAATAAAAATATAGACATATATGTCCCTGTAGAGGAACTGATCCTTTATAAATTGAATTTTGGTATTACTGTTTAGCAATTGACACGTTGGTTTTTTGGAATTCTGAAGGGGATAATTAAAATCCTGAAACAGTCTGGGCACTTTGATAGAAATAAGAAACAAAATATTATCTGCAGTGTTATCAGACAAGCCAGAAGGAGAAAACCAAGACAGTGCTCTGCTTCTAGTTACCTTAGGATACAGGCTGCAGTCTCTGACTTACTTATGTTATTTTCTTATGTCTCCTGCACATGAATTGACAATTGCTGCAGACCGTAATCAACCTACAGTCCATCCACCAGGGCTCTTGAGTTCTTGAACCAAGACTTGCTATACAAGGTTTTTAGCACATCTTCAAAGTGCAGCTTTTATTTATTGTTTAAAACATTTCTTTCCCCTTTGTGTTACAGTCCCTCCAGTGATCACCTCTAAGATGTTTTTATCGACCCTACTACAACACACATAGCTTTTCAACAGTGATTCCTAAAATTCACATTTCTAAGTGGTATCTCTCCATTTTGAATGATTGCAGAAGTGGGATGCTTGGAAAAAAATCTAGTTTATCCTTTTGAATAGCACTTGACAACCTCCTAACCCTCTTGAACAGTTAGATACAATTAATGATTGTTATTTAATGGTAGTTGGTTTACCTGTTCCATCTATTTTGCTGTTCTGTTGTAAGGAAGAATATGTAGTATTGGATCAGCTTCCTTCCTGTCCGTGTTCTAGCAGAAGCTAGACGACAACTTGGCAGGATGTCGAGCAGTTCAAGTATAGGATGAGGAATTGCCCATGATTGTTGAGAGTCTTTCCAACATTGATTTTTCCATGATTCTTCCTGAAAAGGAGAACAGCTGTGCCAAGCCTTTCCCGGAAAACCTTTTTCTAACTTCATAATACTGAATTCTCTCTCCATTATCCTCACCCAGTGAGGCTAAGTGTTTCTGAACTCAACTTAACTTTTAGTAAGTATCCATTCCTGTATTTTTCTCTCTAATCATTTTAATTGGGGGGCATCTAGAAATAATAAAAGTAGAATATATGATTAGGGATGGTAATTCTTTAAGTGCAATATATCAGCAGATTTTCATTAGAGCCCAGAATATATGTAATTGTGCAGTGGTAAGAAAATAAGTAGTGCACAGGAAATTGTGTACATAATACTTTGAAACAAAGCAGCAACAAAGATTTCCTGACTCAAATATGCATGTTTGCTGCTGGTTTAGATGAAGTGCCGTGAATATATAGAAAGAACCCATTTTAAAAACATGCAAAGAGCATCACGGAAGTCACTGGAGATAAAGCCACTAAGCTGCCATGGAGAGGTAGCCCACCATGTCTCTAGACTAATCCAGAAAAAAACAATGTCAGAGATATTAGAAATTCAGATTTTCAAAATCTTTCTATTCTGTTTATTTATTTACTTATAAAAAATGTTGAAACATTTTCAACATGGCCATCTCTCCTCTCCCCACCCAACTTAACATGCATACCTGTCTCTGCACTTGAATAACTGCTGAAGTGTTGGGGAGTTATTTTTCTTTTAGACATGTGTAGATCTTATCTCGGGGTGACTAAGAGCCTAGAGTTAAGTATTTTCAAGTATACTTGTGCGAACTTTGAGCCTGCTTGGTTTATGTGAGGTAAAGTATAATGTACACTGCAGCAACCATTATAAGAAAGTACTGTACTATTCTCATCAGAGAATGTGCTGCCAACTCCCCTTTTATTTAAAAAAAACCCTGATTTTGATATGTATTTTAAAATATGATAAAGTTCATCGAAGTTAAAATTTTATTTCTTTGTTTTAGTCAATAAGTGAAGATGAAAGTCATATGATTGGTATAGAAATCAGGCTGGACATATTTGTTTGCCATCATTTCCTCTGGTCATTACATAGTGTGGGTTAGGAGAGTAAGGAGAAGCTATTCCAGGTTAATGACAAAAGGTTTTTAAAACTCTTCATTGGATAAATTCCAGCTAGTAGTGACTTTCCTGTTTTTCACTTTGGTGATACCAGCCTCAGGGTACAAATAAATGTGTTTATATAAAAAAAAAAATTCCATGAATCTTTTAGTTAACAAACAGGAAGATTTTGTATTAGTACATCATTTCATTTCTGGACTGTTTATAGTGATGATTTGGAACTATTTTAAATATATGGATATGTTGTTTTTACATTTGGTGATTAAAGCTTTCTGTAGTAGGTTTTGGTTGTCTGTGTATGTCATATATTTGTTTCTTCAATCTCTGTTTCTCATCTCCACCTTGCATTATTTAAGCGCAAGTTTTCAGCTCTAACTTAATGGACTCCCAAGGAGTTTTTTGCCTGTAGGCTCCTACGTACCAAAATTGCTGAAGGAGAATGTCTGTTGTTCTTAGTTTGAAATACCATGAGCCACAGTTAATCAATAACCTGTGGAGAAAATAATTTACTCAATCTATGCTGTTGAGAATTCCAAAACAGATCAAGGCTGGGAACCAGTAGCTGTCCTTTCCTTTGTGGGTGCTCTCCTGGCTCAGAGGAGCGGTTCTGGGGGTGGGGTGCCTGTAGTCATCCAAGGAGTACACTTCCTACAGCCCTTCTAACCTCCAATCACTCCCAGTATGTCCGTGACAAAAGTAAAAATATTCCATTTAATCTGTAAGCTTTGATTGGCAAAAAAAGAAGATCTCAAAGGATATCCTCATTTTAGAGCTGAGAGAAATGAGGACATAATGATTGAGGTTTGCCAGTGGACACAGTCTAGTTTTCCACTTGCTAAATATCATGTCTCAAATGTGCATAAATTTGAACTAGTTACTAAGACTCATTGTGATGAAAAGTCACTCAAGCTTTGATTGATGGCAAAAAGTATGACAACTTTACAAATTTGTTGCTAGTACATTCAGGTAGTTGAGGTCACCTCCCAAGTTGCCAGGAATAACATAAGAAACAATCCTCTAATGACCCCAACCATTTTAGCTCCCACATTTTTCTCTCTTGTTAGGGAAGGATTTTCTGTTTTGTTTTCTTTTCCTGTACACATTTTTTGTATTGGTAATTGTAGTTGTACATAATGGTGGGTTTGTTGTTACATATTAGTACATACACATACACATAAATATAATATGACAATATAATTTGGCCAGTTCATTTCTTTTTTTGTTTGTTTGTTTTTAAAGAGAGAGAGGAGAGAGAGAGAGAGAGAGAGAGAGAGAGAGAGAGAGAGAGAATTTTTTTTAATATTTATTTTTCAGTTTTTTGGTGGATACAACATCTTTATTTTATTTTTATGTGGTGCTGGAGGATCGAACCCAGTGCCCCACGCATGCCAGGTGAGTGCGTTACCGCTTGAGCCACATCCCCAGCACAGTTCATTTCTTTTTAAGTATACATATTTTCTTTTGCTTAAAACAAAAAGTCAGTTCTTGATGAAATTTATTTTCTTTTTATGGTAAAAGAGAAAAATAAAAGATATGAAAAATAGCAAAGAAAGGAGAAGCAAAAGTATTGGCACATCCAAGTGTGCTGGTTCATGCCTATAATCCTGGCTACTCTGGAGTCTGAGGCAGGATAATCATAAGTTTGAGGCCAGCCCATAGATCAGTAGTACAGTGCTTGCCCAGTGCATATGAGGCCTTGCATTCAATTCCCATTATGTGGGGAGGGGAACCAGAGAGAGAGGGAGAACGAGAGATGGGGTCTCACTATGTTGCCCAGACTGACCTCAAACTCCTGGGCTTAAATGATTTCCCATCTCATCTTTCAAGTGACTGGGACTGACTACAGGTGTACACCACCACACCTGGCCAAAAAAAAAAAATATTATTAGAAACTTGAATAAAGTCATTTAACTTACTTTTATCCCTTTGCATTATATGCAGAAAGAGTTTTGATGAAGTAGCCTGCCTCACTTCCCTGTATCTTTGACTTAAAACCCATGTTCCTGTCTCATGAGAAGCCATTTAAAAATGAATAAGGCCAATGCTGAGTTCTTAGATACATTGCCACATGGCAAAAAAGTTCAACTGAAAGCTCAATTTTATGATGTTGCTTGGTGTAACATGATAGAAGAAATGAACATTTCAAGCAAGTATGAAGTACACAATTACTTGGGGACTGCCTAGTTTCTATGAGTCATCTATACAAGAAGAGTTGAGCCCTAAATATCTGGGGAAAATTCATCTTTTCACCTTCACCTTTTCCAAAGTAGTTTATGTCTCATATCTTCAGACACTGAGATGAAAGTGGTTTTGAGAGCTCATGTAATCTGTCTCTTTCCCCTGCCCCTTCCTATACTAAACTGTGCTTGATCTATCACAGGTAAAAAGATGCCTAGTTATTCCTAACACCCAGGCAGTGAGTTCCTTCCTATCGCTGATCTAAGTTTCCTGCTGTAAGGTTACATAATCCATTTTCTCAACTTTAATTGCTTGGCTGTCATTCTTCAGTACTGCAGGCTAAGAACTTGGCTTTCAGTTGAACTCTTTCGCTGTGTGGCTACGTATCTAAGAACTTAGCATTGGCCTTATTCATTTTTAAATGGCTTCTCATGAGATTGGAACATGGGTTTTATGCCAGAGACATTAGTGTTTCCTGCAGCTTCTTAGCTTTGCTGTACCCTCTCCCAAGAGGTTAGACACTAGGCTACTTCTTATTCTGTGGCTTAAACAGACTTCACTGTCAAACCACAGTACAAAATCTAATTAAAATCATTTTTGCCATATCAATTATAAATCCAGACTGGTTCTGTTTAAAACATACATTTTTTTTTTTCCTGAAAGGCTCGTTATGCTGTGAAGTGTCTCAGATAACATGGAAGCTTCAGGTATTACAAACATGCAGCAGTTTTTTGTTTAATTTTGTTTTCTTCTGATATGAAGTCTCACTATGTTGCCAGGCTGGCCTCAAACTGCTGGGCTCAAGTGATCCTCCTGCCCCAGCCTCCCGAGTATCTGGGACTACTGCAGGCGTGTGCCACCACGTGAGCTATAAACCTGTGTTTGATGAACACTCTCAGAAAATCAGTGTTCAGGCATGTTTCCTCCACAAGCACCAATTTTAGAACCAAATAATCTGAATTTTATTTGTTTTTGGGTACCAGAGATTGAACCCAGGGGTGCTTAATCACTGAGCAACATCTCCAGCCCTTTTAATTTTTGAAACAGGGTCTCACTAAATTTCTCAGAGCCTCACTAAGTTGCTGAGGCTGGCTTTGAACTTGCAGTCCTCTTGCCTCAGCCTCCTGAGCCTCTGGAATTACAGTCATGCACCACTGTGCCTGGCCTCTAAATTTTATTTCTGACTTTGCTGTTTGACTCAGTGTGATCTTGGACAGCTCACCAGAGGAGGGAAGGTAAAATTCATGGAAGACCACACTCTTGTTAAAAAGACCTGATAGAGCACAATTAGATTTTCCTAAGTAACATCTGACCTGACTGAGGGTGACTTTTGAGTTTGGGTCAGGAAAATGTATTAAGAAAGAAATAATGGCTTGGAGTAGAAAGGAAAGGGGATTGACCTGACTCTCCTTGAAACTTTGCCACTAATTAGCACCTCTACTCCCCTTCGAGTTCACCACTCTGAGTTCCTGTACATGCTGCTCCAGGCAGTGAACAAGTCAAATATGGCCTCCACTCTTATGGGACTTCCAAGTCTAGTGGGGAGGACCTACTGGTGAGAAAGTGACAAGCTTTATCAAAGGGAAGTTCACAAGAGCCTAAGGCAAAAGGATTTAGCCTACCCTAGGGAACTAGGGAAGACTCCCTCATGAAGTGACATTTGAATGTGGAGATGGGAAGAGTCCTGGGTGTTAATTAGATGAAGGATGGTTTATCCCCTTGGCCACACCCATCTGTGCCATGTCAGGCTTTGGGATGATGAGAGAAACAACCTATTGGTAACGGCAGGCTGGAGCATTTTTGTCATTACAACTTAGGACTGCAGTCAAAGCCATCAAAATGTCTTGCCCTGAACCCCTGCACCTGGTCCTAGGGGGTTAGCTTTAAGGCATCTGTGTGTGGAGAGGAGAAGGGTGTGAAGGCCTGTGCAACTTATAAGAGAATCGGGTGCTTGTTAGGTCGAGGGGTTCATTTTGTCTGCCTTTGCTCATCCCTTTCGACCCTCCCAACCCCAGGACACACACTTTCCTCCCTTCTTCCTTGAAAATGCCATTTATTGAAGCATGGCTGTGCAGTCAGAGATGTCCAGGTTGATCCCTGGCTTCACCACTTACCAGATTTCTGACCTTGGGGAAGTTACTGAATCTCTTGGTGCTTCTGTAAAGTTGGGATGATAGTAATAGCACCTACTCAGAGGGTTGTGTGAGAATGAGATAAAGTACTGTCTGGAAATGTTTAGGAGAATGCCTGGACAAGCCTCCATTAAGATTTGCAGTATTAACATGTTCGGACCCTCCTCTTTCAGGAAGCATTCCATTTCTAAAACAACCCTCACAAAGCTAGGATTCACATGGGATTCATATTGTGCTTTGAATAGGGACATACTTCCCCCCTCCTTAGCATTTACTTGGGGTCAATGCATTTCAACTAAAGGAGCAACTCTGAGTTAAGTTCTTGTTCACTGCAGCAAAGAAGAACACAGTATGGGTGAGCTGTGGGGAGTGTTCCAGAAAAAGGGTATTAGAACTTCTGGTAGGATTTGAGCTTTGGTTTTGTGTTTGGAGGGGAAGTCTGAAGAATCAGGATTTCACTCTAGATTGGATGCTGTCAGAAAACAGGAGCAGTTCTGTGGTTTGGTTTGTCTATAAATCTTATCTGTAGGGAAAGTAGGCTAGATGAGGATAGGCTATGATTGGTAAGGGAAAAGCAGTCATTCATTTTGGCTGAGAAAAGGGGTGTTCCGTGCTTTGTCACTGACACAGTGACTTTATTTGTGTGTAGACAAAATTATGAAGTGGCTTTGCTTTGTCTCATTTTCTTGTGGTCTTAAGAGTAACCTTGTTTGGGGTTTATTTTTAATGAGAGTTTGTATTCAACAGAAAAACATGGCTTAGCTGTGTTTATCTAGTTTCTAAATGTCAGGGCTGTTCTTTCTTTCCCTCCTTGTCTAACTTATTTGGTTTAGTTTTCTTCCTCTACAGAAATTGTAAGTGAACATATTCATTGAAAATACTGTTAATATGTGCTATGTACCAGACCATGATAAACATAGGACACACGAGAACCCTGCCTTCAAGGAACTCAAAGTCTAGGATGATAGAC